ATTTTTGGGTTTTCTCCCCCAGATTTACAATTTTTCAGCTATTATTTTTTCAAGTAAATTTCTACCCCCTTTTCTTTCTTCTGGGATTCTTATAATGTGCATGGTATTATGCCTGATGGTGTTGCTGAGTTCCCTAAGTCTATTTTCATATTTATTATTATTACTTTTTCTCTTTTTTAGTTTTATTGCTTTTCATTACTCTGTCCTCCAGGTCACTACTGTTTTCCATCTAGTGTATTTTTAATTTCAGTTATTGAGTTTTTCATCTTGTTTCTTTTGTTGTTGTTTTCTATCTCTTTGTTAAAGGTCTTACTGAAATTCTTTACTCTTTTCTCAAGCCTAATGAGTTATATTTATGACCATTACTTTAAATTCTTGGGATGCCTGGGTGACAAGGTTGATTAAGCATCTGACTTTGGTTCAAGTCATGATCTCATGGTCTGTGGGTTTGAGCCCCATGTTGAGCTCTCTGCTGACAGCTCAAAGCTTGGAGCCTGCTTCGGATTCTGTGTTTCTCTCTCTCTCTCTCTGTGTCCTACTCCCACTTGTGCTCTGTCTCTCTCTCAAAAATAAACATTAACATTTTTAAAAAATTCTCTATGAGACATATTACTTATCTCCATTTTTTTTAAGTCTCTTGTTGTGAATTTTGCCCTGTTCTTTCATTTGGGAAACACTACTCATCTATCTCCTTATTCTGTCTAACTCTCTGTGTCTGTTTTTGCACGTTAGAAAAGGTAGCTATGTCTCCTGCTCTTGAAAGTAAGGTATTATGAAGAATCGATTTTGTAGTGCTGTGCAATGCAATGTCAAGGTCCCCTATTCACCAGAACCTGGCACTTCAGGCGTGTCTCCTGTGAGTGTTGAATGTGCCCTGCTGTTGTGGCTGAGCCATGTTTGCATTCAGTTCAGTCATCTGTAGTGGCTGTCTTTGTCTTTTATGGGCAGGGTCTGATCCCTGTCATGTTGATGGGCCAGTCTGGGGTCACCTTGGGCTTAAATTGAGTCAGGTCAGATGTTTGCTGGAGATTCAGGGGCATCTAACTGGAGGTGAAAATAGGGGTAGGGTGGTTGGTGCCAGCAAGGTCTGAGTTAGCAGGGCAGGGCCTCCAGAACCAGGGCCTGAGTCAGGTTGCGTTGGAGGGAGCAGATCCACAGAAGTGCTCGGGGTAGGGATGCATGGTGCTAGCAGCATTTGTGTGAATCTGCCGTGCCTGGAAGGAGCATGTCAGCAGGAGAACCAGGGGCAGGGTGCACTGTTAGCAAGTGTTGGCATTGTGCCGGTTCCAAAAGGTGTTGGTGTGTTTATGCAGAGGGTGAGGCATGGAAATTGCTTATCAGCAGTTTTGTTCCTAGAGAAGTCTCTCAAGGATCCCTGGCTCTCCGGCACACACTGAGATTTGTATAAACATATCTCCCTCTCATATACCTGAGGTAGTGTTCAAGCTGCTGTTTCTGTGCTCTGTCTCCATGGGGCTGTTTGTTGGGCAGTCTCTTTAAGGGAAGGGACTCAGTTTCCTTTTGCCCTCCTGGCTCTGCCACCTCTGTCCCTTGAGCTTGCAGATTTCTTTTAAAGTTCCAAATGTTAAGCCTCGCTGATTGTAAGAACTCTGGAAATTTATCCCCTCTCGTTTTCAAAGCCAAATGTCATAGGGATTGATCTTCCTCCCATGGGCTCCCTTGGTGTGAGGGTCTGCTTCTCTGCTTTCTCTGTGCCCATGGCATTCCTTCCTCTTGTGGACAGTCTTGCAGCTCCATTTAGCTCCCAACCGCATCTCTGTCCTTCCTACCATCTTCAAAGGGTCCTCTTCTCTGCTTTTAGCTGTGGAGAGTCTGTTCTGCCAATCTTTGGGTCATTTTCTGGGCTATTTACACTGTTACCTAATTGTATCCCTGGGACGAGATGAGCTTATGGTCCTCCTACTTTGCCATCTTTCCCAGAAGTCTCCTGATGTTATGATGATGTTATTTTTGTGCATGTCTCTTAGTTCCTCTAGGGCATATTCCTAGAAGTGGAATTACTGCATTGCTGATACGTGTATGCCTAGCCTTATTGAGTTATGCCATATTACTTTCCATAATGTATTCCAATTCATACTCTTATCTGCTATGTATAAAATTTATCCTTGGGGCGCCTGGGTGGCTTAGTCGGTTAAGCGTCCGACTTTCACTTAGGTCATGATCTCGCGGTTCGTGGGTTCGAGCCCCGTGTCGGGCTCTGTGCTGACTGCCAGCTCAGAGCCTGGAGCCTGTTTCGGAGTCTGTGACTCCTCTCTCTGACCCTCTCCTGCTCACGCTGTCTCTCTCTCTCTCTCTCCTAGAAATAAATAAAACATTAAAAAAAATTTAAAAAAATTTATCCTTAACATTTCAGCAACCCCAGACTTTTTAAAAAAGGTTTGGGCCGTCTGATGTATGGAAAACATTGCTACTGAAATTATCTCATCTAGAAACTGTTACCTGTCCACAATTAAATCAAAGCACTGTTTTCTTTATTGAAGAAGTCTTGTGAAAACTATATTGTCAGGTGCAGTAAAATACTTAGGGATGTGGTTGATTTACATGCTGGTGTAGTTTTAATTTACAGAACAATGACCAATCTTTATTTATTTATTTTTTTACAAATAGTTTATTGTCAAATTAGTTTCCACATAACACTCAGTGCTCATCCCCACAAGTGTCCTCCTCCATGCCCATCCCTCCTCCCCCCCACATCCATCAGTCCTCAGTTTTTGTCAGCATTCAAGAGTCTCTCCTGGTTTGCCTCTCTCCCTTTCCCCCACCATTTCCGCCCTTCTTCTCCCCCTTGTTCCTCCGTCAAGTTCCTCCTAATCCTCCTATACGTGCAAACATATGATATTTGTCCTTCTCTGCCTGACTTATTTCGCTCAGCATAACACCCTCAAGGTCCATCCATGTTGCTACACATGGCCAGATTTCATTGTTTCTCATTGCCATGTAGTATTCCATGGTATAGATAAACCACATCTTCTTGATCCATTCATCTGTTGATGGACACTTAGGCTCTTTCCATGTTTTAGCTATTGTGGAGAGTGCTGCTATGAACATTGGGGTACATGTGCTCCTATGCCTCAGCATTTCTGTATCCCTTGGGTAAATTCCTAGCAGTGCTATTGCTGGGTCATAGGGGAGTTCTATTGTTAGTTTCCTGAGGAACCTCCACACTGTTTTCCAGAGGGGCTGTACCAGTTTACATTCCCACCAACAGTGTAGGAGGGTGCCCGTTTCTCCACATCCTCGCCAGCATCTAGAGTTCTCTGATTTGCTCATTTTAGCCACTCTGACTGGCGTGAGGTGGTATCTCAGTGTGGTTTTGATTTGTATTTTCCTGATGAGGAGGGATTCTGAGCATCGTTTCATGTGACAATGACCAATCTTTAAATAGCAGTGTCAAATGATTTTGTGGTTTAAGTTAATATTTACGTGATTACAAATGACACTGTGCATTTTTCCATGCATTCATGCTTCATTTATGTTGCCTTTTCAGTTAGAAGCCCGTTAGTCTCTTTTGTTTACTTTTTAATTGGGTTGATATTGCATATTCAGGATATTAATTCTTTGTTATATATGTTGCTATTCTCTCAATTTTTGGCTTATGTTTTACTTTTTTTAAAAAATATTTTTATTTCTAGGAGAGAGAGAGAGAGACAGTGTGAGCAGGGGAGGGTCAGAGAGAGAGGGAGATACAGACTCTGAAATAGGCTCCAGGCTCTTAGCTGGCAGTCAGCACAGAGCCCGACGCGGGGCTCGAACCCACGAACCGCGGGATCATGACCTAAGCGAAAGTCGGACGCTTAACCGACTAAGCCACCCAGGCGCCCCTGTCTTTCACTTTTTTAATAAAGAGATATTCTTAACACTAATAAGTCACTTTTTGGCTAGTGCTTTTGTGTTTTGTTTGTGAAATTGGTCCCACCCAAACGATCAAAAAATACTTACCTGTATTCTGAAAGCTTTTAGTTTTGCCATTCAAATGTAAATCCTTAGTCCATCCAGATTTGATTGGTGTGTGTGTGTGTGTGTGTGTGTGTGTGTGTGTGTTATGAGATAGGGATCTAAATCTATTCTTTTCCCTATGAATAATCTCTTAACACCACTTAATTGAATTCTTTGCACAGTGATCTACAATAACATTTGCCATATTTCAGATATCCACATGTGTATGGGTCTGTTGCTGGGCTGTTTTTGTTTTATTAATTTGTCTTTCTATACCTGTGCCAAAGCAAAGTGTCTTAATTACCATAGCTTCCTAACACGTTGATCTCTGGTAAGGCGATTCTCTCCACTTAGCTGTTACTCTTCAGAAGTACATTGGACAACTCTGTGAATGTATTATATAAAAGGAAAAAGTTTAAATTATTACTAAGAAATTCAGGATATATATTCCGTAGTAACAGAGCTAACACACGCTGTTGAACCTGAACTGCATTAAGTTAAAAATAAATGAAGATGGGGCACCTGGCTGGCTCAGTCAACAGTGCATATGATTGTAGATTTCAGGGTTGTACATTTGAGCTGCACATTGGGTGTAGAGATGACTTACAAATAAAATCTTAAAAAAAAAAATGACAGATTGATCAATTAGATGTTTACTTGGCTTTAGTTTCAAGTATTGCAGCTTGTACTATTACACTTAAAAAACTTTTTGTAATGTTTATTTATTTTTGAGAGAGAGAGAGACCGACTACAAGCAGGGGAGGGGCAGAGAGAGAGGAAGACACAGAATCCGAAGCAGGCTCCAGGCTCCAGAGCCTGACGTGGGGCCCAGACTCAAAAACCTAGAGATCATGACCTCAGCTGAAGTCAGACGCTTTACCATCTGAGCTGCTGAGGCGCCCCACTATTAGATTTTTTAAAGAATGGTTGAAACTCATAAAGTAGTGAATATTTTTGGTTTTTTTTGTTTGTTTTGGAAAACATTGAATAAGAATGTAAAAATTATGAATGTAATGGTTAATGTATGTTTTCTTTCTTTCAAGTCTTGATACATCATCAAAAATATAGTCTTTCCAAGGTGGCTTTTAAAACACCTCTCTATCCTTGTTCTGTAAATGTTTGGGTGCCCAGCAGATATTATGCTGCTGCTTCAAAGTAAGTATATATATTTTTAATTCATTTTGTTTGCTTTCATTTAAAATTTTGATTAAAAAACATTATGCTTTGTCCCATAAATATGTACAGGGACATATAGTTGTGAAAGTTTATAATTTCTGTTTCTTTGACCTTTTATAGTCTTAAAGGAAAAATATGACTTATTATAATAATACTTAATATATATTGAACACTGACTTTCAATAATTATTTTCCACAGCTACTTTATGTGCAAGTTTGTTATTATAATGTTCTGTTTTGAGTTGAAAAGCAAGGCACTGATAGATTAGGTAACTTGTCTAAGGTCACAGAGCTGGTAAGTATTGGAGCTAAGATTTGTGACATAATAAGAAATATAATATTGGTCTCTGCTCACAGTGCCTGAAACAGAGCTCCTAAAAACCCTTGTAATTTTCTGGGTGATAGGAGCATCTTTTGTTCTAACAAGGCAGATCTTGGTGGGCTTTTAGATGAGGGCTAGTCACCAGAAAGACCAAGCCATGATTAGAATCTTTCAGCCCCACCTGTCATCCAGGGAAGAGAGAGATGCCAGAGATTGAGTTCATAATTGATTATGCCTCCATAAAAATCCCAGTACTATGAGGTTCTAAGAGTTTCTGGTTTCTGAGAGTTCTGGATATATATGTGTGCCAGAAGGGTGACCCACCCAGACCCAGTGGGAGGACAAACTCTTGTACTACAGATTCTTCTGGACCTTCCCCTGTGTCCCTGTTTGACTGTATCCTTTATCATATCTTTAATTATATAATAAACTGGTAAATGTTAGGTGTTTCTTTGAGTTCTGTGAACTGTTCTAGTAATTTATGAAAAATTTGTGTAGGGGGTCACAGGACCCCTTGATTTCTAGCCATTTGGCCAGAAATACCAGAGGCCCTCAACTGCAATTGGCATCTGAAGTGGGGACAGTCTTGTGGGACTGAGTCCTTAACTTGTGGGATCTGATGCAAAATCCAGGTAAATAGTAACAGAATTGTCTTCAATTGTTGGTTTGTTGGCTGATGTCAGGTAATTGGTTGGTGTAGGAAAAAAAAACCCATACATTTAATGTCAGAATTGTTTCTTATTTAACTGTTTTCCTTGTTCTGCATCTTGTTTGCTTGCTTACTTTTAACCTAACAATGTATTTTGGGGGTGCCTGGGTGACTTGGTTAAGCATCCGACTCCTGATTTAAGCACAGGTCATGATCTTATTGTTAATGGGTTCAAGACTCACATCGGGCTCCTCCACGCTAAACAGCATGGAGCCTGTTTGAGATCCTCTGTCTTTGCCCTTCCTCTGCATATGCTTTCTCTTTCTCTCTCAAAATAAATAAACTTAAAAAAAACCCAAATGATATATCTTGGAGATAGTTTCAGATGGAGCTGTCTAGTTATTTTTTTTTAATTGAGGTATAATTGACACATAACATATTAGTGTCAGATGGACAACATAATGATTCAATGTTTGTATATTTTGGGTAATCCCCACAGCAGTAAGTCTAGTTAATATCCATCACTATACAGAAATGCACTTTCTTTTCTTGTGATGAGAGCTTCTGAAGAGTTACCCTCTTAGCAATTGTCAGACAGACAATACAGTGTTATTAACTATAGTCACCATGCTGTATATTACATCTCCATGATATTTTATTTTATTTAAAAATTTTTTTAAATGTTTTATTTATTGCTGAGAGAGACACACACACAGAGTGAGCAGGGGAGGGTCAGAGAGAGAGGGAGATACAGGATCTGAAGCAGGCTCCAGGCTCTGAGTTAACCATCAGCACAGAGCCCGATGCGGGACTTGAACCCACGAATGGTGAGATCATGATCTGAGCCGAAGTCGGACGCTTAACTGACTGAGCCACCCAGGCGCCCCTGTTTTTTGTTTTTTTTGTTTTTTTTAATCAGGATCTGCGACAGGGTGGAGAGGCTTATGCTTGTTTCCTTCTTCTCTTGTTGTCTGGAATCTCTTCACTTCTCTGTGTATGTGCATATCTTGCCAGTGGCAGATCCTGAGGCTACTTGATTATCTCTGACCCTGGTTCTGTTTCTCTGTTGATAATAGGTTCTTTTTTCATGTATCTCAAAATTTTTTGACTGTTGAACATCTTGTGTAGAACAGTTGAAACCAAAGTACCTAGTATTTATGCCTGGGAATGCACATGTCTCTTCTTGTCACAGTGTTGAATCAGTCCAGTCAGAAGTTGAGCTAGGTTTTGGTTTTGTTGTTGCTATGGTTACCACCAGCTTCAAATTTCTGTACTTTACCTTGTGCTTAAGGTGGGGGCTGGGTTGCTGGAGGTTTTTCTCAGCATTCTTGTTTTATGTCCTGTTTTCTGCCTTGCCTGTGCAGCTGTGCCTCGGGGGGGGGGGGGGGGGTGTCTCTCTTCATACTCTTGCCCCTCCCCTAGTATAGATTGCTGTTGCTTATTAGTACCTGCTAGTCTGGTGATGGGTGCAGGAGGGATTTTCTGTTTTCCAGATCCAGCCTTTTGCTTCTGTAGACCCAGTGTGGCTGGATCTTGGGAATGGGGTTTTCTCAGTATTTCTGTCCCTTCTCCCCATATTTATTTACTGCATCTTGTGCCAGTGTCCAGGCCCTTCCCCAGCTTTACTGTACTGGTGAGGATACTGCGCTCAGGACCATTTCTTGACCTACCCCTAAGGGTAGAAGTTCTTTCTTCTCCCTACACACCTGTGCCCTACATGTTTTCAGGGTTACATGTCTGTCTGGCAGCAGTGGCTAACTCTGTGTCTGGGGAAAGCTTCCTAGTGTCTAGCTTGCTCCAGTCTTTCCTAGGAGCATCTAGTGGAGGTCTGTGGAAAAGACCTACAAATTGAGTGTGAACTCCCCTTGTGTGCAGATTTCCTAGGGAGTTTCTAGTAGTCTTAAAATTGTAGCTGATTTTTTTTCTTACTTGCTTTCCTTCTTCTATACCCTGCCATGGGTGAGAGTGTCCTGAGTATGCATAAGGAGTGGGCGTGGGGAATGTGGGCGGATTCTCCTTGGCTTTAAGGCTACTTGTTTGCCTTGTGATCTCAGCTTTGTGATGCATTCATGAAAAGTCATGATTTTACCCAACTCTCTTATTGTTAATACTCTTTCCAGTTTTAAATTTTATTAAAACATTTCTTTAATGTTTGTTTATTCTTGAGAGATAGAGACAGTGCATTAGCAGAGGAGGGGCAGAGAGAGACAGAGGAAGACACAATCCAAAGCAAGCCCCAGGCTCTGAGCTGTCAGCAGCACAGGGCCTGATGTGTGGCTCAAACAAACCGTGAGATCATGACCTGAGCTGAAGTCAGACACCCAACCAAGTCACCCGGGCGTCCCTCCAGTTTTTACTTTTTACTTTTCATTTGTTTATATTATTATTGACTGGGTTTTATTCATTTGGTTTTCATATTGTAAGTAAGCATAAGCAAAATTTCTGCATTTAGTTTCATGAATAAACCAGTGTCAGAGATATTGTGAATTTATTTACAGGATTACACTGAGAAATAAGATGGCCAGATGTTTGCATTCCGTTAATAATTACATTCTCTGGGCATTTTGTCGTTAGTTCTGTTTAGTTCAGTGTAGTTTGACAGAAGTTGTGTATCACCAAGTCCCCCAAATCCCATCCCCCAATTCCTCAATGTAAAGGTTTTTTTTAGCCTTGAAGGGACTTGGATCTCTGGGGTCACAGATCTCCAGAGGTCTTGAAGTGAGCTTTATTACAGCACTGATTTTTTTCTCATTTTATTTGAGTGTGACCATGGAATTATTTTTTCTTTTATGCTTTCGGAGTAAGGGACAGATGAGGCAGGGGGAGAGTTATTACCTGAGTAGTCTGTTATTACTCATTTAATGTATGTGGTTGAGGTACCACGGGAACTGCAGCTAAATTCTCTTTGATTCAGACTGCCAGGTATTTCTCCCTCACCTGACAAAAACCTTTTTAGTACGATTTATTTTTATTCCCCAAGAATCATAGTATTTAAGCTCTCTTGATAGGGCCTTACATTTGCATGAACAGCAGAGTTCTTTTGTATGTGATTCTAATGAGTAAAGAGAGCCATTTTTTGAAGGGTCGTGGAAAACTGGCATCTGGTCTATAAAAATTAATTATTTACAGATTTGGTTCAATTGTGTGTGTTTTTAATTTTGGAAGAAAGTGTTTTTTTAGAGTCCTATTTGATCTGTGTTATAATGTATTATGCTTCCCTCCCCCCCCCCCCCCATTTAATTAAAACCGTGTTCTAGGGTGCCTGGGTAGCTCAGAGCATCCAACTCTTCATTTCAGTTCGGGTCATGATCCCAGGGTTGTGGGATCCAACCAGCCCTGTGTCTAGCTCTATGCTCAGAAAGTGATTCTCTCTCTCTCTCTCTCCCTCTGCCCCTCTCATCTGCTTGTGTGCTCTCTCTCTAAAGTAAAATAAATCTTAAAAAAAAATAAAATAGGGACATCTGTGTGGCTTAGTTATTAATCATCTGACTCTTGATTTTGGCTCAGGTCAAGATCTCACAGTTGGTGAATTTGAGCCCCACATCGGGCTCCATGATAGGATTCTCTCCTTCTCTCTCTGCCCCTCTCCAGCTCATGCACATGCTCTCTCTCTCTCTCACTCTCAAAAATAAATAAATGAACATTAAAAAACAGAACAAAACTGTGTTCCCATTTGTAACTTAAAAATATTTTTCCTGAACCACTTCAAATATTTTGTGAGACAGGGATCAAAGTAGAAATCAGTAGGGGTGCCTGGTGCTTCAGTTGGTTAAACGTCTGACTTTTGGACTTTTGGGCCTGCTTTGGATTCTGTGTCTCCCTCTCTCTCTGTCCCTCTCCCTCTCTCACTCTGTCTCTCTCTTTCTCAAAAATAAACTGTTTTTTAAAAGTTAAAAAAGAGTATAAGTAAATTGTTGTATACTCTCAACTCAGTTTCTTTATGTATCAGACTTCTCTTGAGTTTTGCAAATATTTATTAATTTAAGAATCATATTTCAGTCCTTGGGAATTTGATTTTAATTGCAATTTGAATGGACTGGTTCAGCCATGATTACAAATTTATTGGTGAAATCAACATTTATGTAAAGTAAATCTATAGGTTACAGCTAGGACATTTATTTGTTTTGTTTATTTTAGATGGAGATTTATTTTATTACCAAAACAGACGCTCTCAGGGCCTCTGGGTGGCTCAGTTGGTTAAACATCTGGCTTTTGGTCTTGGCTCAGGTTGTGGTCACACAGTTTGTGGGTTTGGGCCCCAGTGCGCTGGCAGCATAGAGCCTGCTTGGGATTCCCTCTCTCCCTCTTTCTCTCTCAAAATAAATAAATAAACTTAAAAAAAAAAAAAAAGCGCATCTTCTCCAGGCTCCTTCTCTTATTGGCCTCCCTGTTCTTTTACTAAATATAAAATAAAAATGTGATTTCTCTAGTTTGGAAGGTTCAGAATTTTGTGGGCTACTTCCAAAGTAGCTGTTGAGGTGTGTTGCATGCATCCTCCTGGGCACCTGCTTAGACTTGTTGCATTCAGTCCAGAAGAACACCTGTGTCCCATTAAAAATGAGTATTATCATTATCTGCTATTCTGTTGAATTGCTTGTTAGCTGGGAGGATGCTGTTAGTTGTGGTAATAAGGATTCATTGAGTGCTAAGGGTGAAAATGGAATTATACATTGAATTGGATTTTTAGTTTCTTTTTTCTTTTTTTTAATGTTTATTTTTGAGAAAAAGAGAGAAAGAGAGAGACTGAGCGAGTGAGAGGCAGAGAGAGGGGGAGAGAGAATCCCAAGCAGGCTCTGCACTGAGAGTGTGGAGATTGGTGCAGGGCTCAGATTCACAAAGTGTGAGATCATGACCTAGGTCAAAATCAAGAGTCAGTGGCTTAACTGACTGAGCCACTAAGGCACGCCTAGTTTCTTAAAAAATAAATAAATAATAAATAAATAAAAAATTTACCATCATCTATTTCTTTCACATAAATTTTATAGGACCCCTTAATAGTTTTCTGTTGTGCCATAACAAATTACCACAAACTTTGTGGCTTAAAACATCCCAAATTTATTATCTTGCAGTTCTGTGGGTCAGGTCAGCCACAGATCTCACTGGGCTAAAATCAAGGTGCCAGCAGGGCTTCTTTCCTCTCTAGAGGCTCTCTGGGAAAATCTGTATTCTCTGTCCATTCCCACTTTTGAGAGGCTACCCACATTCCCTGGCTTGAGAGCCCCTCCCTCCATCTTCAAAGCTAGGAATGGCAGATTCCCTTTCATGCCCAAATTTCTTTTGTCACTTCCCATCACTGTCACATGCAAGTGGGAAAGGGGAAAGTTTCCCTTCTTTCAGGCACTTGTGTCATTAGATTGGATTCCCTGGATTATCTAGATAATCTCCCCATCTTGAAGTCTTAAGCACATCTGCGAAGTCCTTTTTGCCATGTAGATATAACATCTTTGAAAAGCCATTATTCTGCCTACCTCAGACCCAAATCTTTTTCTAGAATATTATTTAACTAAAGCTTTATGGTTAAAAGATTACACGTGTGATTTGAATTAAAGCTGAGATGTATATTATCTCTAGCTGTGTCTTTTTTTTCCTTTTTCTTAGCTTCAAACTCTTACCTGATATTACCTGTTGAACATATTTTCCTAGGTATTTTGTAAACACCTTCTTATCTTTTGTTATATATCAAACCACTCAAGGTTATTTATCATTGCCCACACATCAGTGGCTCAGGTGATTTAATCTCTGGATGGGTGTCTCTTATGACCTTGGCTGGGCTTGCTGCACATCTGTGAGTCTGCAGGTCAGCTGAGAATTGTCCAATCTAGCCTGGGGCTCAAGCCTGTTTCACATATCTCTCCTTTTCCTGCCTTTGGGCTAGCCCAGGCATGTTCTTATGAAAATGGCAGAAATACAAACATACAAGTAGAAACATATGAATCCTCTTTTTGGCCTAAGCTTAGAACAGAAAAACTGTCACTTTTGCATATTATATTGGCCACATTCGTCATATGGCCAGTTGAAGTGCTAGGAAATATGCCCTATCCCATTAAGTGGGAGGAATTGCAAAGTTACTCAGCAAAGGGACTTGATTGGAGAGAGGGGATAAAGAATTGAGGTCAATGATGCAACCAGCTCCACACCCAAACTGTCTGTTGCTCCAAACTGAACTCATCTCTCTGACTACTTTCCTCACAAGAAACTTGTTTTACTTTCATTTCTGGTCTTAGTGATACTGTTCTATGCCTAGTCACACAATCCAGAAACCTAAGAAGTATTCTAGAGTCTTCTCTTTCCCCCTTTCTTTTTCTGCATTATTTTCTTTGTGAATATCTAATCTCTTATCTTCAGCCTATTACCATCACTGCTCTGGAAACTGCCATATCTTCTTGGGAAGAAAGGGAAAGAATCATTTTTCTATTGTCTACAATCCAGCTTCCTTCAAATCCATCTCTAACACCATAGCGGGAATACTCTATACTGGAACTACAGATGTCACTCCTGTTCTGTGGCTTCTTATTGTCTCTAGCAAAGGCCCTCTATCATCTTTGATGTTTTGTGCCTTCTGCTTTACCCTTTAGTTCAGGAGCCACTAAAATATGGCCAGTGGGCCCAAAAATCTGGTCTGCCATCTATTTTGGTATGGTTCATGAACTAGGAATGGTTCTTACATTTTTTAGTGACACATGAAAATTATGAAATTTAAGCCATTGTTCATAAATAAAGCTTTATTGGAACACATCTACACTCATTCATTCTTCAGTGTCTGTGATTGCTTTCACATTACAGTGGCAGAATTGAGCCATTGAGATAAGTGACCATAAAATATTTGCTGACTGGTCCCTTACAGAAAAATTGTGGCCACTTTTGCTCTAGTCAGTTAGAATTTATAATAGCTTTCTGTATGTATTTATATTCTATCTCATGACTCAGTACTTTTATTATGTTGTTTCTTTGGCTCTTTATTTTTTTATTTTTTAATTTAATTTTTCTCTTGCTACTTTTAATGTTCTTTTTTTTAAGTTTATTTATTTGTTTTGGCAGAGAGAGAGAGAGAGAAAGAGAGAGCAGGCGTAAGTAGGAGAGGGGCAGGGAGAGAGAATCCCAAGCAGGCTCCACACTGTCAGCACAGAGCCAGTCACAGGGCTTGAACTCATGAACCAGGAGATCATGACCTGAGTGGAAATCCAGAATTGGATGGTTAACTGTAATCCAGAGTTGGATGGTTAACCACCCAGGTGCCCCACTCTACTTTTTAAAATAATAGCTTTATTGAGATATAATTTACATACCATACAATTCGCCTATTTAAAGCGTACAGTTCAGTGGTCTTTAGTATATTCACACTTTTGCTGCCATCAACAGTGTCATTTTTAGAACATTTTTGAAAACTTACAAAACCCCATGCCTGTTGTCATTTACTCCCCATTTCTCCAACTCACTCCCTCAGCATTGGACAAACACTAAATCTACTTTCTTTCTTTTTTTTTTTTTTAATGTTTTTTTTTTTTTATTTATTTCTAGGAGAGAGAGAGAGACAGCGTGAGCAGGGGAGGGTCAGAGAGAGAGGGAGTCACAGACTGAAACAGGCTCCAGGCTCCGAGCTGGCAGTCAGCACAGAGCCCGACGCGGGGCTCGAACCCACAAACTGCGAGATCATGACCTAAGCGAAAGTCGGAAAGTCAGACGCTCAACCGACTAAGCCACCCAGGCGCCCCACACTAAATCTACTTTCAGTTTCTATGGATTTGTCCATTCTTGATGTTTCATGTAAATGAAACCATATAATATATGGTCTTTTATGACTGGCTTCTTTCACTGGCATAATGTTTTTAAAGTTCATGCTTATTGTAGCTTGTATCAATACTTCATTCCTTTTCACTGCTGATTGATATTTTATTGTATGGATATACCACATATATGCATCCATTCATCTGGGTTATTGGACATCTGGGTTGTTTTTACGTCTTGGCTGTTTGTAGTCCTGCTATGAACATTTGTGTACATTTTTTTGTGTGGTCATATGTTTTTGTCTTTCTTGGGAATATACTTGGGCTGATTCTTCCTAATCCTTCGAGAATTGATGTTAGGGTCATCTCTTCTAGCACCCTTCCCTAATTTACTAGGTTGGCTTAAATGTATTCCTTATGGCTCTGGTCCTGATAACACTGTCAGAGTACTTACCCATTGTATTGAAATTATCTGTTTGCATGTCTGTCTCCTCTACTTCTCTAAATTTCTGGAGAGCAGCCTCAGTGACTTATCTAACTTTGTATCATCTGCAAACAGTACAAAAGTTCACTTAATATTTGTTGAATTAGAAAACCTGTAAAGCAGTCTATGCTTTTCAATGAAAGTAAACTTTAAAAAAATTAAAATAAACTTTATATTTTGTTATTTTTTCTGTCTTACATTCATTGACTTTAAAAAAAAATGTTTCTTGGGGTGCCTGGGAGGTTCAGTTGGTTGAGTGTACAGCATCTGCTCAGGTCATCGTTTCATGGTTTGTGGGTTCAAGCCCCACATTGGACTCTGTGCTGTCAGTGTGGGGCCCAGTTCGGATCTTCTGTCCCCCCCTGCCCCTCCCCCTCCCATGCTCTCTCTGTCTCAAAAATAATAAATAAATATTTAAAAAATAATTTCTTAGACTATGTATTAAGTAACTGATCTTGAATTTATCTTTTTTAAAGGCCTGCAAAGAACACAAAAAAAGGTGTAAAAGACAAAGCATCAGATGAGAAAACAGATGAGATAGAAAAAATAAAATCCTATCCCTTTATGGAAGATGAACCAGAGGATGATGTCTACTTAAAGCGCTTATATCCAAGGCAGATACACGAGGTGGAAAAGGCTATTCAGTTACTTAAGAAATTTCAAATTCTAGACTTTACTAATCCAAAGCAAGGTGTTTATCTTGATTTGACACTGGATATGGCACTGGGGAAAAAGGTATGTAGACTCCATTAAAAAACATTTATTTGTGAACAGTGGGTGTATGAATTGCTGTTTCTTAATTTTTAAAGTTCCTTGTTCTGTGTAGTAATTTTTAGAAAATCTTATGCTCTTTCTATACTTCAGGATGAAAAATGTTTTGTTTTTATTTTCAAAATATAAAATATAATGTTGAACATACCCTGCAGAGTTGAACATGTATCTCCTATGCACCTGAAAATCACTGGGACAAATGGCAGTAAGTTTGTGTTAAAATTAATTGAGATATTACTATAACTTTGAGAAATGACTTAAGCTGCCTGGGCATCCTATTCCTTCACTGCAAATGAGAGTTTTGGATTAGCTCAGTTGCCTCAGGTGTTTTCCATTAAGTCCTGTGTTGAGACTAAGTTTGCATGGATGGGGTGTGCCAAGCCCCGCACTCTTGCTCCAGCGAAAACCTATCTGCATTGTTTATATGCAGTTCCATGGAAGACTTTTGTTCATAAAACTCTAAAAGTAGTAAAAATACTGAATTAGAGTTACATTCCATTACAGTTCTAAATTTTTTAAGTGTTTCATTTAAGAAATCTAATTTTCTTAGAAGCTATATTTTAATTTTTATTCCGAGGTTGTCTTTTTTTTGGTCAAACTGGAAGGTACAGGTTTTTGAATACAACTGAACAGCCTCGACAACAATAGTTGAGCACTTAGGAGGAGGAGTACAGTGTAGTGCTTAAGAGAATGGGCTCTGGAGTCAGATTACAGTACAGGTCAGAAGCCTGGGGTCACCACTTACTTGCTCTTTCTTTGACTTTGGGCTTCTGGTTTAACCTCTTCATATCTATTTTTCTGTCTCTTTATAAAGGGAGATAAAATGCGAGTTCATGCAGTTTTCTTTTTAATTTTTTTTTGTCTTTATTTTGAGAGACAGAGAGAGCGAGCGGGGGAGGGGCAGGGAGAGAGGGAGACACAGCCCATGGACTGTGAAATCATGACCTGAGATGAAGTCGGATGCTCAACCGACTGAGCCACCCAGGCGCCCCCATGCAGTTTTTAAGAGGTTTAAATTAAATAATGCATGTAAAGGACTTGTTAAGTGTTTAATAATCACAGTCAACATTTATGGAAACTTCCTGTGTACCAGCCACAATGCTAAGTGCTTTGCATGCATTTTCTCACTTAATCCTATAATAATCTCAAAAGAGGAAGCTGAGACATAGAAACTGAAGTAACTTCTTCTAGGTCACAGAGTAGAGGGTAGAGTTAGGATTTGAATCGAGGTCTGTCTCATCTCTTAGTTCTTACTTATTAGAAACAGTTTATACTAGCCATGCTGTAATTTTGTTTTATAACATAAGTTACTGTGCTTTTATTTTTAAAAAGTTGTAGTATCCAAGATGATCATTTTCTCAGTCAACCATTAATATATAGTGATGATTCACTTATATGCAGAGTTTTTTTTGATAAATACAGTACAGTACTGTAAATATATTTTCTATTCCTTATTTTCCTAATAGCATTTTCTTTTCTCTAGTTTTGTTTGCTATAAGAATGCAATATATTATAAATATACATACCATACCAAATATGTGTTAGTTTACTATTTATGTTATGGGTAAGGCTTTTGGTCAACTGTAGGCTATTAATAGTTAAGTTTTGGGGAGTCAAGTTATATGCAGATTTTCAGTTATGTTGGAAGTCAGTGCCCTGAATCCCTGAGTTCTTCAAAGGTCAACTGTAGTTCATGATGAAGACTTTTAGGACCATAAGCTTCATTTCGTAAGTGAAAGCCACTTGTAAACTAGTAACATTGAAAGGGTACTGTTGTCTTCCTAAGACATTTTTTGTTTTTGATAGAGTGCTTGTACAACAAGCTAATATTCCCCCAGGGGGTGCTTTTATTGTGATTACTTACCATTAAAAAATTTACTAAAACCCTATTGTGACGTGTTAATGGCAAAGGAATGCCAATCAATAAAACTGAGTCTGATAATAAAATATGCTCAAGAGTTTGTACCCTCTTGTCTGAAACTCCCCTCCCCCCAAATCCTCAGGTGGTTATCACTATTCAAAGTTTTGCTGAAAAGGTAATCTTTCAGTCAGTTTTAATTAGGGAACAACACCTTTTCTTGACCTTAAAATTGCACCAAACCTGTGGGCCTACAACTTGTTTCTGTTTGAATTCTCTCTGAGTGATATGTGCCACAGGGCTAGACAGGTCCTTGGCTAGATAACTAAACAAATTAGTTCAGAGGCCCTGTAGAATCTCCACCCATATCAGTGCATGCCCTTATGTGTTTTGGATTTTCCAGCTGACTTCCCAAATAGGTCTGAAAGTACGGGGCAGTTTCAAAACAGTCCCACATAGAAGAGTCTTTCAGGCTTGGCAGTCTGTCTTAGATTTAAGGTTAATACCACGTAATTATTTAGAGCCAGTGGTGGAGATTAAGGATCTCCTATTGAGCAGATTAGCTGGATATTTTCTGTAGTCTACTATGCATAGCTATACTCCTGTCCTCCTTGATGGTGACAAAAAATTACATGTTCTTTTGAATTTAATTCAAGGTAGTAAACATTTATTGATATCCATCATGTAGAAAGCATTGTACTAGGAGCTCAGGAAGATATAGATATGCAAACACATCTCTTAATATATGAGCCACTGTGATGAATGATATAGAGATAGCCAAGTGCTGTGGCAGTTTGGAGGGAGAGAAAGTGATTTAGATTTTCATTATGGTTCCTTACAAAACAGATATAGTCTCTTATTTTTTTTTTAAATGTTTGTTTATTTTGAGAGAGAGAGTGAGAGAGGGGCAGACTGCGGGGGAGAGAGAATCCCAAGCAAGCACTGCACTGTCTGCACCAAGCCCAATGTGGGACTTGAACTCCCAAACTGTGATATCATGACCTGAGCTAAAATCAAAAGTCAAAACTCAATTGACTGAGGCACTCATATATCCTGAAATATAGTCTCTATGCTTTAAATTATAATTTGTGAATAGTTCTGGATTAATTAAAGGACAGATGATAAAATTAAAATGTTGGAAATAAAACATCAGTTTTGTTTTTTATAGATGTGAGATATAGAAAGAGCATAAATGAATTTTTCATAATTGTTTTTCCATTGTTGTCTTTTTAGAAAAAAGTGGAGCCATTTGCCAGTGTTCTTAGTTTTCCGTACCCGTTTGTTTCAGAAATCAATAAAGTTGCTGTATTTACAGGGGTGAGTAATCTTTGTCAACTTTTTATATCATTTAATATTTTTTACATATAATATTAATCAGTGAATCAACTGAATGAGTAGTCTATTTACACAGTCTTATTTTTTCCATTTGAGGTTGTGTCATTAGTTTCAGAAAGAGCTAAACTAGAACATTAATTTCATCATCATTAATCTATCACATTATGTTTCTCACAAGAAACTGAAGAGAAATAGAGAATTTATTCATCCTCCTAGCTCCTGGTACCTATTCTAAGTCCTCTCCTCAAACAAAAACAATAAAATTATTATTATTTTTTAACAATAAATTTATTTTAAAGCAGTGAGTCCACTTAGTCCTGTGTAGACAAAGAAACCACACTTTTTCTTTCTTCTTAAAAAATTTTTTTTAAAAAGTTTATTCATTTTTGAGAGACAGAGTGTGAACGGGGGAGGGGCAGAGAGAGAGGGAGACACAGAATCTGAAACAGGCTCCAGGCTCTGAGCTGTCAGCACAGAGTCCGATGTGGGGCTCGAACCCACAAACTGTGAGATCATGACCTATGCCGAAGTAAGATGCTTAACCAACTGAGCCATCCAGGCCCCTCAAGAAACCACAGATTTAGAAATATCTAGTCTGGAAAGCCAGGAAACTCAAGCTTGTAACAAATAGTCATATGGCTCTTTGTCAATCTTCTTGTATTATAAAACATTTATTTGTAATGTATTTATGAATTTGTTTTGTAGAATGTTTTGATTATTCTTTATCTGCCTCACTTTCAAGGAAGAGATCTTTACTTTCTTTCCAGAAAAGTGTAGCCAAGAGCTGTCAGAATGCTACAAAACTTGAATAACTTAAGGGAGTGATACATTTTTACAGTAAAACCAAGTGGCATAAACAGAACATATAGAAAGAAAATAACTGACACTGTATATTTTTCTTTTGGATTTTCAGACAATTGGCTAAATTTTTTAAGGTTTTATTTTAATTCCGGTTAGTTGACATACAAAGTTATATTAGTTTCAGGTGTACAATATAGTTTTGATTCTATCATTTCTTAAGTAATTTTTCCTCTTCTATATTGGTTTGATAAGATGTCACCATTTAAATTAGCAAAACTAGATATATTTTAATCTTTTAGTTTTGAAAGATGATGTATTGAAGGCACTGAAGAGTTAAAAACATTTTTTTTGATGTTTTATTTATTTTTGAGAGAAAGAGAGACAGAGTATGAGCAGGGTAGAGGCAGAGAGAGAGGGAGATACAGAATCTGAAGCTGGCTCCAGTCTGTGAGCTGTCAGCACAGAGCCCGACACGGGGCTTGAACTCACAAACCATGAGATCATGACTTGAGCCGAAGTTGGAGGCTTAACCTACTGAGCCACCCAGGTGCCCCAGAAGGCACTGACGAGTTAGATTGGACCACTTGGTAGGTTCCTAATATGTCATTTCAATGTATTTCCTCATGTGTTAGTCAAGAAACACCTTAATCACCTACAAAGTAAACTTGTTCCAGATATAATATCTCTGATCCATCTGATCAACAGAGATGCATTTTTAATTAAGAGTAAAAACCACAGTTTTTACTTTGAAATGTGATATTATTTCTGACAAAATACTTGAGAGCAGACTGAATTTATTTAGAGACTGATGTTCAAACTATTGTATTTTGGTAGAATGCATCAGAGATTAAAATAGCAGAAGAAAATGGAGCTGCGTTTGCCGGAGGAACTAATCTGATTCAGAAGGTACAGTGTTGTTTCATGTTCATTAGTTATAGAAGTTGTTCTGTTATCTTTGCCATCCATTGATTTATTACATATGGAACAAAACCACTATGCTTATATCTTTTGATAAATGGTTAGTAAAGCTTTGTAGAGCAGGGAAAAATTTTCCTACTCTTCTTAGTCTCTTTAGCTAAGAAAAAACTATCCAGACACTCCGATATAAATTATGATTTACATTGTGATTTTTTTCCCCCTTGCTTCCTGTATATTTGTGAGAGTTTTGTGGGTAGACTGGAAAGGGTAATATGATTCTTTGTGGTTTTGAATGTGAGATTTAAAATGAAATTTAAATGGTAGCACCTTGAATATCTCTATTCATGATTTGAAGATCAAATATTTGTTTTCCTTCTTAGAGTGAAAAGTGTGATTAAATTTACAGATCACAAAGGATAGTGTCTGACCACTATGGTAATATGATACTTCTGATTACTGTTAACTTTTACTCCCCAACTGCTTCAGAGTGGTGTAGGCTCAGCAGGAGACCGCAAGTGGCTCTGTAGCCTGCCTGGAGAAAGTAAAGAATTTGTGGAGCCAGTTTGCAACCAAAACAACTTTTTTTTTCTTTTTTAAGAGGTGGGAAGAAGAGGCCCATTTACTTAAATTTGGGAGTTATTTCTGAAAATATAAGAGATTTTCTGTAACATTTTCTAAAATCTTCTCTTCTAAATTTAATCATCTAATATCTTTTGGTTTTAGAATAGGAGAAACTGATTTGAAAATTTATCTTCGTTCCATATTCAGAGTTTGATTTTGGGAAAGTTTGAACTGCGCCCTTCCTTTGGGATGTACAGCAGTGCTTGTAGTTTGTTGTTTGGAATACATCCCAAGAGTATTCTAAGTGTGGTAGGGATACTGCATTAAAAAATATATTTTTTTTTGCTTTCAATGTTTATTTTTGAGAGAGAGAGAGAGACAGAGTACAAGCAAGGAAGTGGCAGGGAGAGACACCGAGACACAGAATCTGAAGCAGGCTCCAGGCTTTGAGGTGTCAGCCCAGAGCCTGACACGAGGCTCGAATCGATGAACCGTGAGATCATGATCTGAGCTAAAGTCTGATGCTCAACTGACTGAGCAATCCAGGCACCCCTGGGATTCTGGATTTTTAAGAAGAGTCTCCAGAATGAATTTTGGGAGTATCACTCAAGGAAAATACAAAGAGATTATACTTTCATGTGCAGATTCTGCGTCAAAGTCAGAGGGTGGTACAGAGTTCTTTCTGATGGATCATAAACCTTAACTTAATAAAATTATTAAAATTCTTTTAATTTTTAAAAATAATATCACAAATTCTTTGGAATTAGAGAGTAGAGCTTAGTTTCCAATACAGAAGGTCGTAGAGTAGAGATTTCACATGCAGCTCTTTGGCATTTCAAAATCACCTCTGCTTTCGTATTTCTATGAATGAGAGTCCTGGGTTCTGGACCTATATTACATGTGTTTAAAATTTGGGTCTGCTCTTTATAATTTCATAGACTGACTGGTCCTCCCTAAGCCCTCTGTTTCCTGTCTGGGATGTGTGGTCAATGTTAGTACTGGCCTTTTAGGGTTATTGTAAAGACTGGATGAACTAAATCATGTGATCTGTTTAGCAGAATGCTTGGCACATGTGCTAAGTGCTCCTTTAATGCAAGTTATTACTGTTAAGGGGACCACAGGAAGTTATTTAGGGAGTAAAGAATTTGTAAAAATAAGAATAGTAACAAGAAGATAAAATTCCAGAATCTGCTTAATTTTGCCACGGTTCAAGATTTTAGGGTTTACTGTGTAACCCCAAACCAAGACTTTGAATGACATATTGTGGTAAATATTATATGTAAAAGTAATCATTGGTAAAAATATTTATTGTCTAGGCAGTATTATTCTAAAAAGTTGTTTATTTTGTAATCAATTAAATGTTTAAATGGAGTATATTGTAGTGGTCTATTAATTAATTTGGATGTTCGTCTGAATTAATTAAAACTGTCTTTTAAAAATTAAATATTATTCTTTTTACTATTAAAATGAATTTCAGTATAGATAAATTATAAGTGAATTTGTCTTCAACCAACCTATTCTTTTATTTTTAGTTATTGGAGGCAAATAGAATTTTAGTTTCAGTTCTTTGTGAAAATAATTATAGATTAGTTTTTTTGATGCTCTAAATTTAGGAAAGCAGTGTGGTTGCTAGTGGTTATTTGAGTGGTTATTAATTTTACATGTGATATATTACAGAATTTTCAACATTGTTTCCTCAGCTTTAATGGACATATGAATTCAATTTTGTAGGATTATATGAGCCATGTATACATCATTCCTACCTTCTAGTTTATTACACTTTTGCTTAAGAATTAAACCCAGTAAATGCTTTTTTTTCTTTTCTTCTCTTTCTTTTTTTCTTTAAAGGATGTGACTATTTTTAAAAAAGAACATCAGAAAATGTTTTGGTTCTAATGTTTTTCATAACTGGTAAATGTGTCTGTGGGATCTTTGTGTTTGAAGAAAAATTTTGCTTAATGTCTGCTTTCTAAAGTATAGGGAAATTACTACATTATACTTTATTTTTAGAAAGATAAAGCTTTTCATATAATCTAAGGTTATCTTTCTCCCCTGAATTTCAGATTTTGGATGATGAAATTCAATCAGACTTTTATGTAGCTGTTCCAGAAATAATGCCTGAGCTTAATCCATTAAAGAAGAAACTGAAAAAAAGATTTCCAAAACTAACTAGAAGTAAGGGAGAATTTTTTTTTATTGTTTTATGCTGTCAACAACTTTCTAATATGTATGTTATAAACCAAAATTGCTAATATATACATAGAGTAAATTATATGTTTTGGTATTTGAATTTCATGTTATGTAAGAATATGTGGATTTGATTTTTTTTCCTTTGGCATTAGTATTGGTAATCTAATAATTTGAAAACCTAGTTACTTTGTAATACTAGTTCTTTAAGTTTGGGCCATATTGAAGTTTGAAATTATTGGCACATACTTCCCACTGGGTATATTATCATTATACCAGTTTATACCTCTTTATCAATATAGTATGTGTACTCATTTATGGCAGCATTCTCTCTCTCTCTGTCTCTCTCCATTTATATACATACATATATATATAAATGCTTACCGTGTGCATGACTCTGCTGATGTTTCCCTTAAAGAACTTTCCCCTTATGGATATTTCCCCCTTATGAAATTTAGTGAGAGGTAATGTTACTCCATACATAGCCATATGTGCAGTATTGTATGATAAATTCACAAGGTACCAAAGGTGTTCAGTCCAGGAGGAATTTACATAGAAGTGGGGAAATCAGAGAAGACATGCTGAAGGAGCTAACATTTAAACTATAACTTGAGAGGCATCTGGGTGGCTCCATCAGTTAAGCGTCTGACTCGATCTCAGCTAAAGTCATGAAATCACAGTTCCTGAGTTCAGGCCCTGCGTCAGGCTCTGCACTGACAGTGTGGAGCCTGCTTGGAGTTCTCTCTCCCTCTCTGTCTGCCTCTACCCCACTTGTGCTTGCTCTCTCTCTCTTTCTCTGTCTCTCTCTCTCAAAATAAATAAATTAATTCAAAACAAAACAAAACAAAACAAAACAAAACTCTTTGACTTGAGAGGTGCCTGGTTGGTACCTGGCTGTGCATGACTCTTGATCTCAGGGTTGTGAATTCAGGCCCCACACTGGGTGTAAATATTACTTAAAAATAAAAATAAAATCTTAAAAAATAAACTACAACTTCAAACGGGTGGCTGGGTGAATCAGTCGGTAGAACATGTGACTCTTGATCTCAGGATTGTGAATTAAAGTCCCACCTTGGACATGGTGCCTACCAAAAAAAAAAACAAACAGAAACTGTACCTTGAATAATTGGATGAATAGATTAAGGGGAATATTATTTTAAATAAAAAGAATCTATTAATCATATACATTGAAGTAAGTCAGATATTATTTAGGCCATGTACATGAAAAATCAGTTAGTTCCCTTTGGCTTACAGTGAATAGTACCTGTACATTGAATGAAAGAGAATAATGGGAAATTATAGTGGAAAGGAAGATTGGTATCATATTGAGAAGGATCTTTTTTTATTTTAGAGTTTTATTTGAGGAATCCCTACACCAAACATGGGGCTCAAACTCATGGCCCCAGGATCAAGAGTCACATACTGTTTTGACTGAGCCAGCCAGGAGCCCTGAGAAGGATCTTGAATAAGATCCTAATAAGCTTGGAGTTTTATTCTGTATTTAGCAAGAATCCCTTAGAAGTTTTTAACATGAGGAGTTCCTTAAAACTTTAATAATCTAACGAGAGTTTGTAAGATATTTTGGCATGAATCAAAACTAGACGTTGGGAGACCAGTTTAGGCACAATTGTCAGAGACTAATAAAGGTAATGTTTAAAGTCTTCATAATGAGACTGCAGTAAGGAGACAAATGTCAAAGACACTAGGTCTTTGTGCTAATAGTTAGGAATGAACAATTTGAGGGGGAGAAATGGAGGAGTCAAATGATGGTGAAATGTTGAAGTCTTGGGATCTTCTAATAAGTTGATATTAATGGAAACGGAATAGATTTGGGAAGAAAATTGAGTTCATTTTCTTACATGGTTCGTTTTAGGTGTGCTGGAGTTTGGATAAAATTTTATAGTGTAAACAGAACAAATATTTTAAAATTGTTTTAGTAGACTATTCAAGTTCCAATTCAAGTTGAACTAAAGTATTCTTCTAAAAGTCATCATACATGAACCACTAACACTTACCTGATTTATAGATCATGTTCAGTACTGTAAGCAAATTCAAATGGACTCTCCAATTCTTTTCTTGTCCTAGAGTTTTGTTTGTTTATGTTTGGTAACTTGCATTGAATAACACATCCTTATTGGATATTGGACTGAGTTTGGTGGTTTTTATTAGGAATATCCATTACAGTAGTGTTTGTTGTCATGGAATCAGACTTCTTTCCTAACTTGAAACTCAACATTATTTTAAAATTTAAACCAGAATTATAGTTGAATTTGATGAAAATATTTCTTCATATTTTTTGTAGTTTCTAATTAAATTCAAGCTCACTAAACCAAACATACTAAATATAGTTAATTAAAATTGAAACTGGATACCAAATATATCAGTATCCAGCCATCTCCTTGCTTTGCATAGTGAACTCATTTTTCACAGAAATTAATTTTGTCACCTTTGCTACTTTATCCATTTTCTGAATAATCCTTTTGGCTCCTATTTTCTTTATTCTTTAGCCTTGGGTTTGTTTTTTTTTTTTTAATACCATTTGCATTATAAAACTTGAGACTATTGTTTTGTAGCCTGGAAAGTTTTCAAATACCTTATTTATTTCAAATAAGAAAAGTGTCCCTAATGTTTATTTTGGGGCACCTGGGTGACTCAGTTGGTTAAGCGTCCCACTTTGGCTCAAGTCATGATCTTGTGGTTTGTGGGTTCGAGCCCCGCGTTGGACTCTGTGCTGACAGCTAGCTCAGAGCCTGGAGCCTGTTTCAGATTCTGTGTCTCGCTCTTTCTCTGCCCTTTCTTCACTCGTGCTCTGTCTCTCTCTCTCTAAAAAATAAATAAAAACATTATAAAATGTTTATTTGTATTAATTGACTTTATTTCTAGTTTCATAATGAGTCATAGCTTTTGTATACCATGGTCACATTTTCTAGATATGTAGCCCCCACTTCCATTTGCTTAAACAAAGCATCTTGAAAAAAATAGACCTCCTTCTCTAACCTTTTCTTTTCACTCCCGCCCTGCCCCTCCGCCCTTCCAGGATCTGTTTAACAGTACTGGCAAAACATTTGTGTTCTTTAAACATGAAGACAAACGATTAACCTGTCAAAAATGTTAAAATGGAATACACCAGATGTGCATTAGAACAAATGAGGCTTGTATTATGCATTTTCAGAGCTTATTCCTATTCTCCTTGTTTAGGAGCATTTGCTTCCCCTTATATCCAACAAAAGACTTTAGGGTAAAATAGAATTACGTTTTGAGCAAATGGATGAAATTAAAAAACAAACAAACAAGTCTCTGCAGCTGAGCTCATTAGTTTCCCATTTTGTCTTACATTTTGTTTTACAAAGGGAGTGGGTGTAGCTGCCTTGCCTGGATTGAGTGTGCACATTTTGCAGCATGTTTAATCCTGCATTTTTATTCATTTTATTTTAATTGCTTACGTAACTGTAGGCAAGTTCTCTATTTTTCAAATGCACATTTGGCTTCTTTTCCTAGTATTCTTTCCTTAAAAAAACAATTTAACTTGCTTTTTAAATTTCTTGAAGAAATTGGGCTTCATTTTGCTTGCCAACAACCTTTTTTCCCCCAATGTAAGTGTCCTCTGAAATTCTTACATCTCTAATATAGATCTGTTTTATTGATATTTTAGATTTTTTATTGCTAACCAACTTTTTAGCACTTACTAGATAAAAATATAAGTATGAAAAATATCTTGATTTAGTGGAATTAGTTTTTTATTATGTATATTAATGCATGGTGGCTATTGTGGTATATATGGAAACAGATGAGTTCTTTTTTTTTAATTTTTAAAAAATTGATTTTGAGAGAGTGAGCATGTATGACCAGAGGAGGGTCAGAGAGAGTGGGAGAGAGGATCAGAAATAGTTGAATTCTTTTAAACTATGCTAAGTTAATGGCAGGTAGATGGAAAAGGGACATGATTAGGAAATTGGATTCACTAATGTGTATTCCTCTTAATACATTGCTCTTAGAATTGAACATCAGTGATCCAGTTGGAGTCTTGACAAAAGATTATTGCAGCAGACTTGTCCAAAGAGTATTCACATATACTGAGTAGGACACTGTTTTCTGTATGAACATTGGTGTTGTATCATATTTGAGAATAGTGGATGTAAACTTATTGAAACCTAATAGGATGTATTTTTAACTCATAGAGTAACACGCTGTACTTAAGAGTACAGCATGCATTATCAAAACACTTAGAACTCTTTGGTTAAATGAAGAAAAATGCTAAGATTGAGAGAATTTTTGTCCAATAATGAATTTGAAAATTTTCAGTATTTCTCCCCTCATGTATTAATTTAAAAACTATTGGGGCACCTGGGTGGCTCAGTCAGTTAAGGGTCTGACTTCAGCTCAGGTCATGATCTCGCGGTCAGTAGGTTTGAGCTCCGTGTCGGGCTCTGTGCTGACAGCTCAGAGCCTGGACAGGCCTGTTTCAGATTCTGTGTGTCTCTCTCTCTGCCCCTCCCCAGTTCATGCTCTGTCTCTCTCTGTCTCAAAAATAAATAAACATTAAAAAAAAAAAAACTATGTGTGAAAGACTCCAGTCATGATTAGGAATAATTATAATTACTATAGATTAATTCTTGATATATTACAGCTGGTTCTATTACTCTTTCATTTACTTTACTCTAGCCTCCTTGCCCTTCCTCACACACACTGAATGTTCTCCCTTCTCTGGTCTTAGGACTTATGGGCCCATTTGTCTGTAATGCTCTTTGCTTATTTGCCTGGCTCACTTTCTCATTCAAATATCACCTAAATAGAGAGGCCCTCCATGACTGTCCTATAGAAACTATTATCCCCTACTTCCCATTATCACTGTACTTTTCATTATTGCAGGTTTATATGTTTTTAGGACATCACTCTTAGTAGCATTTTTATTTTGTTTTTGCTGTTACAATATCATTGACTGTACTCTCTATGCTGTACTTTTCATCCTTGTGACTTAGTCATTCCAT